ACTGTAACACCTCAGTAAAGTCCAGTCTAGATGTTCCTTTTAAAGAAAACAACCAGCTCCACGTACTGTCTGGGAAAGTTCTACCTTACTACAAAGTCTCCAGAGCCGACTACATCATGAAGCAGCCACAAGAGCACGTCACAAAATCAGGTAGTTTGATTATTTCTGACCATGGTCCTTTCACACCAGATTTGAAACACAAGCCTCATAATACTTTAGGAACATAGTACAGTTGCTTCAGGTTTAAAGGTTTTGCAAACTGAAAGGGATTGAAGCATTTACATATGCAATACCATCTGATTCCTTGAAAAAATCAAAAAAAAAACCAAAACACCCTGACCAAAGAAGAAACACCCCCACTTACAAAATTGAATCTAAATGAAGGGCAGAAGAAAGTGACACATTTTATGTCAATAGGAACTTGTTCCTGTCAGCACTGAACATCTATTCCAACAAATTTCACGTCATGCTGAGTGAGGTTGCAACAAGCCAGACCGACCCAACTCAAACATAGTTTGCCAGCCTCATATTTCATAATTCAAGCTTTTATGTACAAAGAAACTAATTACCGAGATCTCTCATTAGATATACTGTACAATATAAGCAGAATGAACAGAGCGTTGCCAAAAAAAAAAATAAAATTTTACCCTAATTCCCTTAACACTTAGTTGCAGAACATCACTGAGGTCGCATAGCTAAAATCTGCCTTGCAAAATGCCTGTCTCACAAGACACACTTGGATGTTCTGAAACATGACTGACAATCAGACCACTGCAAAGATTACCAAGAGAGACAGGTGTTCGGAGCTTACACTCACTTTATAGCCTAAATCCGTGGGTACGTTTTGTAAAATTTGGATACTAATGATATAACTCCAGCATCATAAAAACCCTAAGAATCTTCCAAAATCAATCATAGTTTGACCAAGTGGACCCAATATTCCCACTTAAAAGGATAACTCGAAAGTCAAACCCCTCAACTAGTACCGAATAACCATTCCCCGTGAAAGCTCTACGTCCTGCTGAAAAATGTCACACCAAACAATTCATACCGACAGCCTACTCTCTCTTACTCCTACTCCCTAACCCAGCACCAGCCACTTAGAGGAGAGAGCTTCTGGTGCTCACCATACAGGAGATGAAATATTTCCAGCAGTTCATCGCTGCTTCGCTACTGTTCAGGGAGAGTATGAATATCTCTCTTCACTCTGGCCTTAGCAGTGCTCCACTACTGCATTCAGACTTCTTGTCAACTGGCAGCTGAGCAGCACTCTGCAGCTGAGCAGCACTGAGCTCTGCAGCACAGCCACCGAAGAGCTGTGATGTCACACGAGTTCCACTGCAAGGGACCCCTAGCAACCATCTAGGCCAAGCGCCTGACCACTCCGGGGGTTTCCAAAGCTAAAGCTTCCTATTAAGGGCATTGTCCAAATGCCTCCCAAACACTGACAGCCCTGGGACATCAACCTCCTCTGCAGGAAGCCTGCTCCAGGGTTTGACCCCCCCTCCTGGCAAAGAAATGTTTCCTCATGTCAAGTCTGAACCACCCCCCCGCACCCGGTAACACCTTTATAGTGCTCTGATTGGAACCCTAAAAGCTTTAATATGAATAAAATGGGTAATCGGAGCATCTGCCTAGCCTGATTTCATTGCCCTTTTCACTTTTGTATTTACACGCTGTGACTGACAACCACCACCAGATGACAGTGTTCTAGAAGATTACAACGGCCTCTGCAGAGCCGGTCGGTACAGTTTTGCATTCCCGATACTAACAGTGGGGGAGAGTTTAAAAACACTCAGGTCAGGGAACTGACAAAAGCCAGTTTCTACACCAGCCCTATAATCCTTCCGTGCACAAACGATGGGCTGCTCTAAGTAACTTGCTGGATATCAAACATTAAATTTCTTTACCACGTTGCCGACTTCACGGTTCCCTAGCAAACAGTCTCTTTGCCGGTTGTGTATTTGTATCTTCCCCTGTGGTGCCCAGGTATTGGTCTGATCTCAGCGAAGGTAAAACGGAGCAAAAACGTTCATTAATAGCCCTTGGAATAAAGATAGGGAGTGATTTGAGGGGAAAGTCAGATTGGGGTGTTCAGAATACACAGGGCTGTGAAAGAGCAAGGGCACTGTCAGAGAAAGCTGAAGGCCTACAGGCTGCGGTTGTTTGAACTGACAGGACAAGAGGAATTAACTCGCTTCAGAGTGAAGAAAAGCTGACGGGCATTGTGCTCTGCACCTTGGGGGGAAAGGAACCTCTCTGCTCTAGTGGGAAAGTTGTCCAGAGATCACGTATCGTCCCTCTCTTTCCAAACGTGCAAAGGGCAAACTCAGGCACTGAAGGCTACTAAGAAACCCTGCAGTAAACTGGCTCACTAGCTAGGACTGCAGGAGGAGGAAAGTTACGTGGATTTATTCCACTGAAAGACCAAGAGGCATCTTGTTGTGAAAGGGAATACAAGACATGGAGAGATTTAAAAGCGAGTGACAGGATTTGACCCTGCAAGAGTCGCTTATTTTCCCAAAACACAAATCTTCATTTTATCACGGGCTTGTTAAGTGGCATTTCCTTTCTGCTTTGTCTACAGTGTCAAAACCTTCCTCCTAACTTCCATTTCACTGTAACTGTACTTTAAAAGCTCCGCATGCCACAAAAATGGAGTCGCTATACAACAGCAGATCCTTTATATCAACAGTGATGCTAGTCACGAGTTTGATTTTAAATTAGCTGGCAGGAGACTCTCCCTTAAGTACTTCCATTCTTATTTCTGTCATCACAATATTAAAAACAAACAAAAAAACCCCAAACCAAAACAAAAAACCCCCAAACAAATTCATATGGGCAGGGACCTTGTATCCAAAAAGAGAAAATAACTTGTCCCTGAAGACAGAGCTTCTTCATGGCAGAGGAGTGGGCTGCTTTCAGGAAGACCTGGGTTCTCTTCCCAGATCTCCCAGTGCCCTGGTCACCCACCCTGGGCTATTTTGCACCTCAGTGCTGCTACTGGTATTTTAAGCCAGAACTTTGATGCTGCCCAATTTCCTACAATCACAGGGTTAGTTTTCCTCTTTGCTTGCCCAACCGCTGATAGAAAGGTCAAAGGAATGACTGCTTATTTAGATGCTTTTTGAGAACACCGAGACACACATTCATGAAACACAATGATCTCCCTCCTGGGATTTTTCTGATTATATTGTAGTACCTTCCCTTTAAGCACTGTCATTAAGAAAAAGCTTTTGCTTAATCATTTCTAGTCAGCAGGGCTAAGAATACACGCAGATCTTGAGACACTGAGGTTATTCAGTTGGGAAGAGCTAAAAACCTAATTTAATTTGTGTGATCCCTTTAGCTAAAGCGCAGAACATATAAAACCACATCACTGGAGATGCTACACCCAGCAGAATTCACTACTGAGGAAAGTCACTGAGTCATAGCACGGCAGACTCTTAGAGAAGTGCACTGAATAACGTTTGGAACTATCAAGGTAAGCAGATATTTCAAGGAGAATCAGGAAGTATTTTTCCCAATTACAATACTGTATAATTTGATACGTCATTAAGCAAAACTTCCGTTGTCCCTCTCCGGCATCAGATTTATGAAACTGATGGATACAGAATACAGAAAACAGTGATTTTGGAATAATTCAACTACTTTCCTGCTTGACAGTTTCTAGAATCTACAAAATAGAACAAATACACGTTTTCGGTCTGTGATTACACAAACCCATTACATATAAAAGCACAAAGACAATAGCTTTATGTAGCTAGATCTATCAGTTAGTGCTTGAATTCAGGACACACAAAGGTTATGAATGTAACAGATCTCTAAGAACAGTCAACCAATTTCAGATTAGGAATTTGTCAGCATTTCATTTAATATCACGATACTGCTATGTTGTTGCTTTTGTCATACTCTGAATTCCCCACTAGTCTTATTTTTCAAGTGTTTTGGAGGGAATTGTTTCTCATCCTCCTTAACTCCTAATTTCTAGCTCCCAGAATTTAGTACAAGCTTTGCCACCCACTGAGTGGTAGGGTGGAATATCTGGTTGAAGTGACTGAGGGCTTTAGGCCTGCAATTCCTTTGATGTCTGACCTACTTCTCAGTGACAGGCCCATAGGGCACTTCTACATAAAGAAGAGTAACTTACCTTTCAGTTTAAAATAGTGAATACTTTATCACCACTGCTGAACTATTACAGAAGCCGAGTTACTATTCAGTATTGATTTACATACATGGTATTATCTGGCTTTCTTGAAGTGCTTTAGAAACAAATGGTGGTAGGGCTGGTGGCAGGCCTATAAAATGAACACAAGTCAGGCAAGTAAAGTAACTTCTGGAAAACTCAAGATACTGCAGAGCAACTCGGTGGTGGATATGGGACTGAAACAGGGACCATTTGATACCGTTCCTAGATTTATCATTTAAAATCTTTTTAACCTTGTGGTCTAGAAGACATCCTTACTTAACTACGTACACACATAATGAAAAGAGATGCTCCCCTTGCTGTATTCTCATGCTATCTCATCATCTCTAGGAGCTCACCTGTAAGGATGCCATGCTCCCATGCTTTCTTTTTATTATCCCCTTTGTCTGCAAAGAAGTACTGCCAATGCAGAATCTTGAGATGTGAAGCATTTCTTTGACTTGAGAAAACCATTATTTAAAAGAAGGCAATTACCAAACTGCTCAGAATGCTCCAACTATATGATTTTGCATCTTCATCTGTAAATATGCACTATGTCAATTGAAACTCAAATTCTAAGCATCAAATTGTTCTCTCTGAGACTTTACCTTATTTTGTCACTTTGATTCCATACTTCCCCCCCCCCTTCTTCCCTGCTTACTTCCAAAAGGCCAGAGACATTGGGTCTGGCTTAGCAAATACCAGATACAGCTCACAGCATAGTTATGTTTAATTATTAATATAAAATATACCTTATCGATTTACTAATATAAATTATTGAATATTGAATTTGTAATATAAAATATCATTTATTTAATTTTTAATATGAAATATTCCTTATTGACGAGTGTATCTATTAAAATGGATCATTTCTAAATTGCAAGATAGCAGTTTTCCAACTTACTTATCCAAAATAAACTCTGATGCCTGTAACTGAAGTATTACAATGTTACATTAACAGAGGAAAAAAATGCTTCCAAAAATATATCACCACAAAATAGTGACAAGTCTTCACAGATATTTCCTCTGATAATTTGCTTCAAACCATCTTGGACTTTCCCATGTCTCTGAAAGGGGAAGGGGTGTTAACCTATGGGTTGCAATTATACAGTTCAAATTAAAGTAAATGCAGTATGAACTCAAACTATTATATCAAGATAAACTAAACTGACTTCAACTTGTCCTCCAGCACCTGAAACTTCCTTTGGAACAACATCTGTGGGAGTTACTCCAAACGAGATGCTGAGTTGATGGGGCCTGCCTCAGTATTAAACTGCATTCAGTGTCTTTGGGTCAGGAGGAGGTCATAATCCAAAAGTTCAGCTCAAAAAAGGTACAAGTAATTTGACAAGTTGGTTTGGTACTACAACATAAAGCAAAATAGCTTGGTGTAAAAAGAGCAAGACAACCATGTCACTTATTACTCTGCCTGGCTAAATTAAAGGATTTCAGGTAATTTGATTATAATTTCCAACATTGCCAGGTCCTTCTTATGAAACCAGGAGCCATCCTGTGAGCTTCTTATTCTGATTTAGCAGCAATCTGTACGCAATCAGAGAAACTCGGAGTTAGGATGCAAGTCACAGTTTACTAAAGAATTTACAGTATGATTTTTACTCTGTGAATCTTTTTTATTAAACACATGTGATAATACTAATTCCCAGAAGTGCTACACAATTATTTACCAGAAATGAGGGCCAGACCTTGTGCTCAGGCAGGGGGGCCTGCTGTGGATACTTGGGTCAGAGTACACAGAACTCATTGAAACACTGAGAAGTAATTCCATCTCCTACAAGTAATGACTGGAATAGAGACATGTTGTTTAGTCTTTGATTTTCAAGCATAAAGTGTCACGTATTGTGCTTCTATTATCCTACCTTACTCAGTCGATCCCTGTAACTATCCAAAATAACAAGAAATGTTATTTCCACATCACATAGCTCCCCAGACCTCTGTTCCAACTCATTTCTTCAATATAAACTGCCACAATCCAAAGATAGTCTTGCAGTTAGGACACTGAGAGAAAAAGACCATTGGTCAGCAAAAGCATTGCAAACAGTTGAAATTTCATAATTATACTATAAATATGCACATAAAGACTTAAAAGGAAGGCATAGATTCCTTTTGGTTCTGTTCAGATACTGTAAGAAAGATGTCTTCATTTGCTGTTGTAATGCGTTAACCACCATCATGCTATTATATAATTCTTGTTCAAAGTGTGCTCTAAATCTAAGAGTTTGCACTGAAAATGTTTCATGTAGTATTTTCTCTTCTTCCTCCACATACTAAAAATTGCTTTCTTTATCTAATTAAGAACAATATGAATACATTCATTAATTTTATTACTTGAAATATTTTTTAGGTATTCTTTATAGTCTAGGGAACCAAACTTTTGCTACTCTGCTGGGGACAATACTAAGTAAGTAACATACTGCAGGTAAGATCAAATTTTGTTCTTGCCAGCCTCTGTTACAAACTTTGAATTTCTCATAGCTACAAACAACGTCAAAGTCTCACTAAGTAATATACTGCCCACAAGCCATGCGGGGCTTGGGGCATTCTGGTGTATTCCATTTAGGACATGCTCAAGCAGGAGCCTCACAGAAAGGTTAGGTACAGGCAGGTATCTGTGGACTGTTATTAAACAGCAAACCACCATGAATGAGGCTGCTTTAACTTCTGTGGTGTCAGTAATCTAAAGTACACAGTGCATACTTACAAAACATTCTCTTGTTGCCATCACCTTGCAGCCTGCAAACCAATCATGAAGCTATCAAGCAGTTTTGGAAGTGACTTCTCTTACCCAAGCAGCCTGAAATACTTCAGAAGCAAGGTGGTACTTCTTGGAGTTTAAAGGAGAACTTGTTGCTTCAGGAGAATACCTAGCCTCCAAAACCAAAACAGGAAAAAGCAGACAACATAAAGGTAAACACAAACCTCAGAGCAAAGTGAACAGGTAGGTGGTAGACTGCAAACACAATCCAGAGCAGAGAGACAGGTACATGAACAGTCTTCAAATCACTCTTTGTCCAAAACCAAATGAAAGTTCTGAATTTTAAGTTCAAAGATTTGCACTTTTTGAATGCAGTTTTATCTTTTTATAGCAGATTTACAATTAAATCCAGTTGCATCATTCATGCAGAGACGCCCTAAGACAAAAGCAGAAAGGATCAAGTCAAAAGCATTATTATATGGAGCAAAGGAAATAATGATGGGGGAGAGAGTTCCCTCACACTTATTTGAGATTACCACACCAGACAAGAAATTGAACTCCTATGAAATAAACTCCATAATGACAAATAGTAATTTTACTTCTAGTTGTGAAACTAATTTCATTTTTGCTGTAGTGGAAGAATTTTGTTGTTTTGTTAGTTTAGTCTAACACTAAGACTGATCAAAGATAGAAATACTGAAATCACAGAAAACTGGTTTGCCTCCAGTAGTGTTTCCAGAGAAGATGATTTTTTAGGAAGGGAGAGAGAAAAATGTAAATACTGAATACACTGAAAAGACTTGCTGACTGAAATGAAATGCTTACTTTAAGAATGAGAAACACATCAAGTACATTATTTAACACAGAAAATATTTATAGTTTTTAAATCAAAACCAAAACCTGTTTGCTTTTTAACATCATCTTCTGACTGCTGTATTTGAAATACTTAGGTATATTTTTGCTTGTTGACATATTTGGAAATAGGGGAAAGTATAAATACTGAAAATATAAACTATTAACAGAATTCAAAACATGGGACTCAAAAGCAGACCTCACAGTGCAAATACAGAAGGGACAAAGGATCAGAAAATGGCATCACTGTAGAGATAACAGCACAGTATTGAGAAACAAAAGCTGCGGTACTGCCCAGTGTTAAGGATACAAGTACCAGGTCTTCAGTACACCAGTGTAATTACCTTCCATCTTTGTGATCCTGACCTTCTCAGCACTTTTATTACAGCCACCTGCAGCAAAGCCTACTGCCTGCCAGTGAGAGGCTGCAAACAGCAGCACCTTTCATCAGCTGATCAGGAGTAACAGCTTGTACTTTAGCACCTACTTCTCTATCTTCTTACCTTTAAGACAATCCTGCCAACTCCACTCCTTACTTAGCCTTCTCTGTGTTAAACCAAGAGTTCTCAGGCCTGGCTTCGTGTGGCTAACACCTGCTTCCCAGGGGGCCAGCCAGCCCTGGCCATGGCTGTCTTGCATCCTCACGCTCACTGCTGGGGCACCTGGCAGCCCCCGGTGCCTCCCACCAACTGCTGACCTTGCCCACACTTAGCACCCTGCCAGGCACCGGCTAGCATCAGAGCTGCTTTCCAGGCCGTATGCTGAGCTCTAAACTTTAACTTGTCATTATCAAGGGAATGATTTCAAATTAAAAGCCTACAGATTTTTTACAAAACCTCCAAATGAAACTCTCACATTTCTCAACCTAGCGTGGTCAAAGGCAGCTGTAAAATAGTTGAGTTCAGCGTGGCCCTTGAATCTTATATTAAGTTGCCCAAAAATAGAGCCAGTAAGTGAAATAACTGCATCTGAGAAAAGCTTAGATAAGTTTCAGTTCAACATCTTCCTTACAACTTTTTCTTGAGCTCAATAATTTCTGGGGTAACTCTACAAAGCATCTCTTAGTAGTCCTTCTGGATGCTACGCCTTTAAATCTGACAAATATGAACAAGTGCGACCCTCAAATAGCTGTTTTGAAATAAAGAGGTTTTACTGGTTTTCCTCATGCAGCATGAAAGTTTCTCTTTTTATTGGGGCTTTTTGTTGTTTGGGTTGGGGTTTTTTTTGAGGAAAAGGTGTGCATATTTTAACAGTAACAACTAAACAAAGATAGGATGCCACTTTTCTCCTGTTCTAGGTTATACTCCAGACATTACTTCTACTCTTATCCATGACAAATTATAAGGAACACAAGACCTATTACATAGTTTCAAGCAACTAAATTTTAGTTGTATCAACCCATATTTTTATGTTTAGATAGCAGTTATCATCCTACTGGTTACGTTTGGTACTATTTTTTACAAGCAACCCAGTCAAACGTCCTCTCCATAACATACAAAAGTAGATAAACGCAGATGCAGAACTGGTTGTTCTAAAAATGAACGTGGCTGTCTTGCTTACCAGGAATTGAGAACTGTGGTATTTTCCTCAGGAAACAGGCAAAGCTTGAAAAGTCAGCACACATCTTACTTATGCTGGTCTGGTGACTATTTAAATATCTTCTCAAAGGTTTTGAAGTAAAGCAGACATGGAGAGTTAGGAGAATACTGTGACATCTTTGTTGAAGGAGTAACCTAACAGCATGAAATGGTTATTTAAATAATTGCTTGTCATTAGACACTGCAACCTCTTTAAGATTCCATTTAGCCTAGATTTAACATTTATTAATACACGATGTTCTGGTTTATACATATTGCACATATGTTTATTTTATATATGTAACCAGATTTTAAGTTTCTGTTGGTGATTTGAAGGATTCTTAACTTGGTGGATTAACCTGTTCTATTAATAAATCCTGACAGAATTTGTTTTCAGCCTTAAGTAATTAAAGAATCTGATGTCTGTAACAAAGTCACAAAAATAAATTGTTCATAAAAGCTTAAGGTGTGGTTCAAAGCATAGCTTTGCTCTGAAAAATTACTGTAAAAAAATATGAAAAAAAATCCATATTTGTTGTGCCTTGGTTCTAACACCATGTATGCTTTTTGTAGTCATGTAGAGAGTTTGGGTTGGGGGGGAGGATTTTTTAATTGTTTTTTTTTTTTTTTTTTCCCAAAAAATTGCCAGGCCCACAAACCCAACCTTGGATCCTGTAGTCACCCAGCGTTATTTCTTGCTCATGTCTCACTTCCTGTAACAACGTTCTCCTTGCCAAACAGTGTCCTCATTACAGTTGTGTCATCCCGTTTTTTAAAAGTGATGCCCTTGGTGACACCTGTGAAACCTGAGCTGAGGTTGCATAAACAACCAACTGGCTCTCTTAAATGGATGCTAATAAACAAGTCTGCACAAGAAACTATAATCCAGTTTGTGTGTGACATCTCTTTTTTAGCTGAGCTCGTTGGAATAGTTAATAAATGTACAAAATATTCAGGCATGAATCATCACAAAAGCTACTCGATCTCCTTTCAAAAATGCTACAGAAATGTTGAGTAAGACTGTCATGTCACTCTCCAGAATAAAATCATGTCTCAAAGGAGAATTGCCCAGTATATATTAGGAGTGACATCTGCTTGCTTTTACACTGCTTTTACATTTGCTCAGCCTAGAAACAGTAGAAGACAGATTCTTTCTCTTACATCATCTATAGCTCTGTTTTCTCTGTTTCAGTCAGTTTGACTTTTGCTAATATAATTCAAGAAGTCTCACAAAGTTGCACAGGTATCGTGCATAGGTGAAATTTAGGACATCCCTTAACAATCACAATTATTTGCATGATTGTCTTAAAAACCCCTGAAAAGGCAAAACAAAACCTCTGAAATTTCAAATAATCTTTTCTAGTTCACATATCAAATACAGAATTCTACAATGTTCAAGTTTTTTTAGATCAGATCTGCACATACAGAAACATAAATACTTGCTTTTTACTCCTAGGTCACAAAGGTTCAGCTGCCATAACCCTCAGAAGACTCCACATGAAGTATATGTAGAGATAAATTTGCTACAAAATCTAAGAAATCCTATGTCCAAGCTCTAAAATGCAATGTACATTTAAAGGAATATTATCAATTTTGTTTATTTAATTTGTCTAACTATAAACTTTGTTTATTTAATTTTCTAACTATACATTCCCTCTTCAATGGTTTAAACTGTAGTTAATTTAAATGAATTATTACGAACATTTCTGTGAACTTTTCATTTTCTTCCTTGTTGTTTTCTAGTGCTTGAATTCCATTAGCAGAGCATTTCTCTAAAATGTTAACAATAGGAACTCTTTAAAAACAACCAAAAAATTTGTATAGTATGATAGTACTAAAATTTCAAGCACTAGAGCTATTATCTGCTCTAATTGCGACCTGGAAAAGCCGGTTTTGCTCTAGATCTTGGGTGCATGTACCTTATAGACAAATGCTACTTAATTCCCAGTCTTCTAATGTTCAGTTCAGTAAATGGAAATATTAGACTCCATCTGCTTACTTTGAATGGGCTGTTTCTCTCAGGAGTGCTGAGCATCCATAGCTGCCATTGACTGAAGTGGTAGAGTAAGATCAGGAGCTGTAAAAAAATGGTTCAGAAGGGATGGTGAATAAATCTATCAAGAAGATACAAAGTTACCATGAGTGGCTTCTGTGAACACTATACAGATTTCACAATCTCTAAAATAATCTGCAGTTCAGAGCTTGGCATTTAAATTCCAGAGTCCTTTTACTTCTCCAGTTTAACAGTACTTGTACGAAGACCTTTACCTTCAAGTACTGATGGAAATTTATGTCAGACATACACCAACAGAGAAGTGCACTGAAGCAGTGAGCAGCAGCGTACAGCATACAGGCTCAGTACTGATGGAGAAGCAGAATCTCTCTCAGTTTGGCTTTCAGTTATTCCATTTTGTTGGGTTTTAAATACATTAGACAGAGGGTCAGCTTTGCTGCTGGAGAAAATGAGATGAAGGCTCAGCGAAAGCTATTTTTGTTATATGGAGAATGTGTGCACTTGAGATTTTGAAGAGAATGGTAAAGAAGGGGTTCCTTCAGGTAGGAATCAAAAATAAAAAGAGTTTAATTTTTATTACATTTTCAAAAAAGACAAAGAATCATAGTAGATATGTCTTCGTTACATTAATAATTTGTTCACCTCTGCGTACCTGGTGGGAACGATGTAGTAGGTGAAGATCATTTGGGTTGTGGGCATATCAGGCACAGGAGAGTTCTGGTAAATGCCCATTAGATTTTAGGGTGTTATAAAATCTAAAGTCATATTTAACTTTAAATTCTAATGACATTTCTACATTTAAAAATATAATGGCTGTCAGAAAAGTGACTAAGAAAAACATGTCAGTACATACTAAAAGATCCATGTGATCCATGTGTTTACTCACTTAATGCTTAATATAGACACTGCTCATTAGTTTTGCAAATATAACACCACTGTGTAAGTGAGGGGATTTCCTCTATGTGGCTTATGTGCCATGAGTAAAGTCACCTAGCATTTATACCCCCTCTTTTGGGGGATATAACACACACAAAGAATAGATCACGACTTCAGATTTTTTTCAAGAATGATATTTAGCATAGGAAGTTGTCAGTATTTCTTTATATATCAAACAGAACATATAGAAATTTATATCTATGAGGTCTGTAAGGATGACAATTCTTGGATCTCTAGCTGTTTCAAAATGGAATAATAATGAAAAGCTCTATATGAAAATTAAATATACTGCTATGAATTAAATAAACATCTTCAAATTTTAAAGTAAAATTTTAATTTTTAAATATTTTTTTCAGAATATAACTTCACTTTCTTTAAAAAAAGTTTCTCACAAACTCTCAGCCCACAAACCTTGTTAAGATACTTCATCATTTATTTACATCTAAATGGACTCAATCAAAATAATGCCAGTATCTTCCCCTTACTCATTATTTAACAAGGTGATCTTTGGACACTGTTCAGAGCACTCTAGTGCTAAAAATTTTACTGTATAAAAGTGGATACTAATTCATACCAATTAAAAAATTCTTCCTATAAACAAATTCTAAACATAAACCACAATATTCTAGTGCTTTCCTTATTTCTAAGAGACTTTAAAAAAATAAAACAAAACCAAAGCAAATAACAACCAAAATAGTGAAAATAAAAAGCTTCTAAGTGGGGAACATTCTGTTTTCAATTGTTTGGTCAAGTAACAAGCCTGTGTTAAAACAGATGTTTTCTACAAAAGATTTCTTTTACTTGGAGATCTAGATTTCTTGAAGAACACTGGAATACAAATTTTTCAGTTACGCCTACCCACAGCTATTCAACAGACAGTCTAACCCTTTCCCTGCTGAGGATGCAATGGATCTGAACCAGAGAATTTGTGCAATTCTACTGCTGGAGAGCACCAAGGGTGCTAATCCCCATTACAATGCATTGTATATGCATAATTCCTACTGTGCCCTTTAACTTTTTGCACTGTTAAAAGTAAATGAGGGACAGGGAATAACTAAATCTCACTGATTCTGTAGTTACCCAGAATTACCAGAAACCTTCTAGTCTATAATTAACCCCTACAAGAACAGCTGTGAAATGTGCATATCCCCACAGCAAACAGCCAGCAGTTCTGAAGGCTTGTTTTTTTCCACTACTTGGTAAATGTCATATGTATGCAAAAACCTTACAGAGGAAGCCTGATAATAGTCTCTCAGTACTCCAATGAATACTACAAAAGATTTAAATACAGAATTCTGTGATTATGTTTGGCATACAATCTGCACACATTCTGGCTTATAATTATTTCAAATATTCTCTTTAAAGTCTTAAATTGTTTTCCATCATTTACATTTAATTCATGCAACCCTTTGCTTATTGCTTTGAATGTAACTGAAAATCAACATTACCTTGAATACCAAGCGCTTCAGCAGAGCTGGTATTGAATCATTTTAAAGATCTTTTAAGTTTACCAAAGGATTACTCACTCTTTTGCTCTATCCATTTAGTTTTCCACTAGCTGAAAATATATTCTGCTACTCAAGTAACTGAATTATAAACTGCCCTGTGTTTGTTTATGTAACTTTTACCTTTAACTTACAGTAGAAATGTTCTGATTGCCATAATTCTCCAGACCCTATATGGAGGGGGGGGGGGAGAGAAGGAATAGGGAAGACACAAAGACACAAAAGGGAAAATACATGGGAATAACATCAGGTATTAAGTTAGACTATAATCCTACCTGTGTGCCATCACTATTACATTCTTAACCAGAAGCTGAAATAATCATGAAACAAAAGCTTCACGGGAAGATTAGAAACACTGAAGAGAGGGACAAAAAAAGATGTTCAAAAATTGCACAAATAGCAAACATTACACAGGAAAACATCTTTTTCTCTCATCAAAGTTCTTTCAGTGACAAAATATCTTTAAAACTGTATACAAATCGCAGGAAGTTGACATTGTTGCAAGTATTCCATACAAGTGACTTACAGATTCATCCAAGATGAACTTTCTCAGGTGACCATGGCTCTACAAAGAACTAAGATTTCACCCATGGAATGCATCAACTGAGCAAAATGGTTTTAGAGACACATTTCCAGAGAAAAGGGGAAGCAGAGAGTAAATCGGCAGGTTCAATTATGCATGACAAGGAATCTATACTAACCTACTACATAAAAAGACAACACCGAAGAAAAAAATATATTCAAAGGAAGATCCAGTGATATTTAACTTCCTTCATTTATTTTTAGCAGAAACTCATTATTACCAGATCAAGCTTATAGTAGCCTCAGTAAGAATTTGTTCAAGGCAGATTCATAAATAAGTGTCTATTTTGTAACTGCAGACATTTCACAGCAAAAGTTCAAACATAAGTTTCATCTTCTGGCTTCTAATGAAAGGTTTATAAAGAAACTCTATATAACTTGACTCTTTAACTACTCATTAATGACGCTGAACTCAGAATTGTTACTGTGACATCCTGTACCACTGCCTGTAGTAACGGCACTGTGTATACACTGCACTGTGCACCGCTTTTCAGCCAAGTAAACAATTGCTCTTTCAAGCCACAAAAATGCCTGCCTGCTCTCAAGGAGACATGCATTTTGCTGCATCATTAAAGAAAAATGCGCAGCCTATGATATCAAAAGACCAAACGCATGCAAATAGCAACACTTCATCAGAGAAAAATGTACAAATGATTGAAAACATTTTTCCCCTTTATATAGCAATATGCTAACAGAGAATCATCCCACACAGACTTGGGAGAGCCCACATTTCAGAAGATTTCACACAAACCCTCCACTCGAGGGAACAAAAGACTTCTCCCACCAGCTAGACCAAACTAAAATGATCTGAGATGTTTTTAAAGACGACTCTCCATAAAGCCCAGAAAAGCAGCAGGTGAGTCCTTCTGGGAGAATAAACTTCAAATAAAAATGTAGTTTTTAAGCCATTGCTTTCCTACTGATGTTCCACGAGAAACTTTCTGCTTCATCTCCTTACAGAGAGATCATCACCTATTACTACAGAAATTAATGGGATGTTAAAAATAAGCATGGTGAGACTGTGTGGTACGGTCAGCTGAGGAAAGAGATTGAGACAGTATAGGGTTTCTCAGTTATAAAATACTAATGAAATTCAAGAAAGTTGTTTTATGTCTACTGTAATGGATTTAACTCACTTTCATGTCCCTTTTTCTTTATGCACATCCACTTGAGCTTATTTTAGTAAGATGAGATTTGACCTCTGCTAAAGGCTCCGGTGAACGTTCTCGAGTCCTACCACTGGGCTTGCCATTTTAACCATACTTTTTCATTCCCGTGTGATTTCTAACATATGAAACACCGTCTCCTCCAGACCTCTGATCATCTCTATATTCTTACAGACACTCTGCACTTACTGACAGAGGTGTCAAAAAGCAAATGACTACAGATCTGATCCCAAGCCTATTTCACAGCAGAGTCTTATCGATACTTTCGCTGGCTCTTTGGATATAGATTGGAACATATTTGATAACTTCTTTCTTTTCTGTACGGTATCGCTAGGGACTCCGATTCTTGCTCGTATTTAAATTTTGATAGTGCGTAAGTACAGTCACGTTTGGGCCAGTATAAGATAAGGTGTAAATGCCTGCAGAGAATTTTTACCCATAAACCCTGCCTGGCACCCACCCACGGCAATCTCCTAGATCACCTGGGAAAAGGGTGGCAGCAGGGCGCAGGACGAGCGCGGCGGTGTCCGAGGGTCCGGCCGAGGCTGAAGCCAGCGGGTCGCGCCGCCGTTTTAGGGCTGCGGCCAGGCGGGGCTTTGGCTGGGCTGTACCTGGGGGGCACCACTCGCTAAAACCAAAACCCCACCTAAAGCCGAAAAGCCAACCCCAAGGAGAAGGTCGCAGACCTACCTCTCCCCACCACAGCAGTGAGTCAGCCGGGCCGCCCGGTGAGAAAGGGGGGCCTGAGGAGGAGAGCGGGACGCCGCAGCCCTCCTCACCGCAGGGCAGGACCCCCCTCCCTTTGCTGCCTGCTGGGGAGAGGGGACTCGGCGGGAGAGGAGAGCGCTCCTCCTCCAGCCGAGCGCTTAACATGGGGCATTGAGCGCTGCCTCGCCTTCCCGGAGCCGAAAGGCCCCTCCGGACGAGGACACCCCCCGGCGG